GAACACAGGAACCAAGAACCACCCCAAACACACAGCTCAGCTACTGACACGGGTCACACTCGGTTCAGTGGAGAGAGCTTGTTCCTGCAGGTTCAAAGCATCTGCTGCCTCTGGGTGTTTTAGCTCCACCAAAAGCAATCAGCTGGTGAGAAAGTGCCTTCTGCAAGCGACAGTCTTCCCAGCTTCGATCTTCCCCTGGGGCCATCAGCCAACCAAAAGAGGGTTCATGTGGAAGGAGGCCTCACCGGGACTCTCTCCAGGACACACAACCACCTCCCTGGCTTCACAGTGATGTTTAATCCCTGCTTTAACCAAATATTCACATTTAAAAGAGGTAAAAGGCTTTCTCGCCACGTTCACCTGAAGTGGAAAACGTCAACCCACAGCGCCGGAGTTCCCTAGAGCTGCTGTTGTCCGTGAGGTCACGTCACGACTGCGGCGCTGCAGCTCCACGGCTTCTCCACACCCTGTGCTCGGGAACACGGTCCTAGGGGTCAGGAGTCTCCAGCTTCTGTTTCAGCATCAGGTACTGCAAGAGAAAGAAAACCAAGGGTTAACAATTAAATCCCAGAGACCTACAAGCAGGACAGCACCCACCCTTGCAGATAAACCAGCAAAATCATTGCATTTGTTCAGAAGATGCACAAGTGCCACCTCTGGAGGTGCTAGCGCTGCACAGACAGGAGAGCTACCAAAGCAGCAGCACCCCTGTGACAGGCCAAGAGCAAAGTCTGTAACCAGCTCTAAACAGCTCCTGTTTCCCTAGATCATTCCTTTTTTATTTCCTCCCCCAGACAAGGGGGAAAAAAGGGCACTGCCATCAGCCGATCCAGTCCTTGGGTTACTGACCCGTCTCCGTTTGACCCCAGTCCCACCAGAGGTGACACCACTCTCTGCGCACGGGCACCGCTCGGAAGCTGCAGGGTCAGGCCCTTACGTTTTCACGGCTGGCAATAGCTTGTTGCAACCACAGCATCTCCATCTTCAAGTGATTTCGGTAGGACTGGAGAGCAGAAGGAGTCCAAGGGAGCTCCTTGATGTCCTCAAGTGGAATTTCTGCAAAGAAACCGAAGAGCAGCCTATGATCAGAACAAAGATTCCGACTGCTCCTACCGTCTGCCCTGCACTGAGCTGTTCCAACTCCTCCAAGATCTCCTCAACGCTTTGGTTCTCCGAGCAGCTACCGTGCCCCCCGCACTCCTCGCCAGGTCACGTG